CCAAGATCCAGAGAATTGGAAGCATACCCGAGGATTTGTAGCCAATGGCAAATTTCACAGCAGCACACCAGAAACAGGCACGACCTGAGGACAATGTTTGGCTGAAAGATGGCCATGGTTTCATGACCCGAAGAGGTCCCTACTTGAGCCACCTTCGGGATGTGATTGAAGATAATGATGTCAGTTTTATCCTTCGAGGTCAAATAGATGGAGAGATATTGGAGACTTTGTGGGCTGTTCTCAATGAGGTCGGTCACATCACCCGGACAATGACTCTGGCCCATAGATCGGAGGTATTGGATGCTCACATGCTGGATAACAACTAGAAAAAAATGATCAATATGGGTATCTATGTTCAACTGCTTTTACATTGCTGTTAAGCTAATAAAAGTCAAGTGGGTAGCCTTTGCAAGAAGTGGAAGCAAGCGAAACTCAGGCTCTCTGAGAGCTTCAAGGCTCTTGAAGAATTAAGTGCCTTGGCAAGTATGGAACAGATTCAAGAATGGGAGCAACAGATCAAATTGAACCAGGCAAAGGACCTTTCCACCATGGACATCTATTACGTCAAGGTCAAGGAAGGTAAGGACCAAATTTTCCATCACAAAGGCCAGCTGTAAAATCATTCAATCAGCCAAGACTGAAAAGGGCATTCAGCTAAAACTTATGACTAAAGAACAGGAAGGCAAGGTCAAGCCGGGATTAAGTGGATGGGTAAACAGCAGTATCAAAATTCAGGAAGCCCAGTGAGTAAAGTCAGATATTGCTAGATTCAAACATTGAACAATCCAGAGCCGAATTGGCCACCTTTGTTAAGGCTCAAGGCAGTCATCCAAGTGCTGATCAGAAGCTAGAGATATTGAAACATTGAGAAAAGCTGTCCAATGATATGGAGTGTAAGAATACACCTGTAAAATTGTGAATTTACGCATTTTCTCTAATAAAACCTACTATAAGTAAATACAATTGCTTTGATCACAAGGATCATTAGATACAGCCCAATCTAGTCGATTAACATCTTCATCCAAGACATGTGCGCATCTTAAGGCAGTAGGAATTGCGGTCGGCACGTGATCGGGCCACTTCAATATACTCGAAGCCTATTAAAAAGACTACACTACCATGAAATAGTTTGCTATCAAGGTGTTCTAGAGTAAACACACCTCAGCACAGGGTGTTGGAGCTTACACCAAACCAGGGTTTATTTCTAACATGGATTAAACAATGTAATTTGATGAGCAACGCGCAAGCGTATAACCCGATGCGTTCCCGATGCAAGAAGCCAACTAGTCACGTGCTACGAAGCATGATCAAAGAAGTCATGTGGTGATACACATCACACGCATCAATGCATCGCGCATCATGGCATCATTGAACCAGGAGTGTTCAGCCTCAAAGAATATTCCAGAGCCTCCTCCCAAGAGATAAAATATGAATGATTTGCCATGCGGTCCGAGACCCATACATAGTATCTAATAATAGAGAGAAAATCACTAAGTGGACTGTTCACCTCAGCTGAACCGATCGTGAAAACTGTTTACAGTGATTCCTGCGTACACATCAATACTAATGTGTCACGTCGCCACAATAGAGCAAACACTAGAAGTCAGCTCAGTTGTGCCACACACAACTGAGCCACTTCAAACCTTTACTAAAAACCAATATTAATTCATCCGACCTCTCAGACGATGCACAGACGTGTAAATATAAATAGAAAACATAGAATGGTATAAAAAGAGGACGTGCGCAGGCTGAAACGAACTCCCAGTAGCACCTGAGGTAGTGGATAAGTGTGTAATCAATTAAAGGACATTTTCTTCACAGACATAAGTAATGTGTGCCTGGAACCAGCATGTTAAGTGGGGATCACTAAGCTTTTGTAAGGTTGTCTTGTCAATTAGTAAGAGAGCTCTCTACTATTACTGAGGAATCCAAGTGAGCATGCTTGAAGAGTCTTTAAGACTAGTTTGGATTGAATCAGAGGCATAATAAAAGCTCGAGGGAGTTATAAAAGTCTACAAAGCACAATTTCCTTGTCATTTCTCTTTATACAGTTAGAACACAATCCCAGAACACTGAGGTAGTCCCAATAAAAGCCTTTTTCCCTCGAAGACTATTGAGTTTCAAATTCTACACTTGTGCTTGCACATAAAAACAATACCATTTGTTCCAAAAGGTCTACTAGAATTAGACAAGTGATATAAGATATACAAAATCGGTTCCCCGAACTTTTACTTAAGTTCTAACAAAAAAAGTGTGGTAATTCTATTTACCGTACGAACCCAAACTCGAAGCACCAAGCACGTACCTGTGGTGATAAGTGTTTAACGTGTTAGTGTGTGTGTGTGTGTTGTTTAGGTGTTCACGCATCTTGTCAGTGCATCAGATTGCACTTTCCACACTCCTGCATGTCACGGTCTTCTCATCGTCCAGGAAGGTCCATGGGCAAAACGATAACTCCCGCCTTGAGAAAGCGTCTTATCCAAGAGCTCAGTATTAATGCTACCTTCACAAACTGTTCTGCACCAGGCCTTCGATTTGCTTGGGGTCGGTATCAGGAATGTACAGCCGCTATCGCCAAGGCTCGAGAAATGCTCAGTACTGGGAACTGGCCTGCAGACCTTCCTCCTTTCACGGAGTTTATTGTTATAGAGTACTAAACAAATTTGGGGTGTTCGAGACCAGACGAAATTTATAATGGAGGATCTGAAGACTTGGGTGGAAAGAGGTGGAACATTGAAAGCACAGCGAACATCTAGTCCTGAAGAAGAAGAACACACAGGGAAAGGGAAGAAAAAGGCTCAGAAGTCTCACAAGAAGTTGTTGAAGTATTGTACTTGTAGCTTGGTTTCAGTTGTTCTGAACTTTTTTGACAAATTTATTTTTATGATAAATTTTGTAGAAAACCTAAATCCAGAAGTTAAAAGTTTGAATGGTCAGAAATTTTCGAAGTTTTGTTTTGAAACTAGGACCCCAGATACTCCATGACACTGGCAGGAAATTTCTTGCCTATGTGATATGGCTAAAAGATTTTCGAGCAGTGTGACATGGTCAAAAGATTTTTCAGCAGTGTGAAGTGTGACATGACTAAAACATTTTTCAGCAGTGTCATATAGCTAAAACATTTCTGCATAGACTACAAAGTTGGATATTGACTACAAAGTCTATTGATAGACCACCAAAGGCTGGACTTCATAGTGAGTGTTTATTTGTATTTGTTTATTGCCATTGTTACTTTATAGTCAAGGCACATATTCAATATACCTGTTGGAAAAAAGACCATGTCATACTGGATGGCTGGGAGGCGACGACGACAAGCAGCACGTCCATTGACGTTCTGCGTCGTCTTCGGCCCAGGTAAGAAAACCATGTAGCCCCTCCCAGTCCGCTTTTAACACCAACAACCAGGTGCCACGTCGCAGTCAGCGACGTGGCAATGCGACACTAACAGACATGACAACAAACAAGAACCCACCCACCCACGAACAATGTACACCACCCCAAACGACCCCCACCACCCATGAGCACCCAGACACGACGCTGAACACCCATGGCATGACAACAAATGAGCCTGCCCAGCTGTGAATGACATACACCCATGAAAAGAGCCCCACATGCCCAGGAGCACCCATGAACAACAACCACCACGAACGCAACACAAGCTTTTACTTCCCAGTCCCCTATATTCTCTAGTTTCTCTAACAAAGCCCTGTATTTTGATGTGACAGAGATATCACAGAGGTTGGACTGTAATATTATACAACCAGTGCGCCATGGCAAAGACATGAGTAGTTGTGAAGATTCACAATTGAATTTCGTTGTCTGAGGTGCTGCGACAGTAGTTGTTCAAACATCATCCATATTTCTCATCAGGAGTACTACTACGTCTCACCACCAAAGGGGGTGGACTGGTCAGGTGGTGGGTTGAAAAAGTAAGAGAGAGATTGAGCAAGGTCAATGTACTAGTAGTAGTAACTTGAAAGAGACAACGTGATGTCTGATTGACTTTACTATAGGTACCGATCTGAGGGCCTATTAATGTGATCATAAGAAAAAAACTAATTCCGATATCACATAGAAAACGTAATACTACTCAGCCCCAAGTTCATATTGTGGGTCAAGCTGAGAATTCTCAAAAAATTTACAAACTTTCCAACCACGGGCCCCACAGCAGTTCATACTTGGTAAACAAGCTGCAGGTATAGGGCATGTAGATCTTTCGGAAGTTAGTAGCAATATGTTACCCCTGCTCCTTGTTGTGGAGACAACACTTGGCAATGTCTTTCTGTTGAATGGCCAAAGCATGGGGATGTTAGAGGGAGTTGATGTTTTGTGAATGCCTGTGTGTGAAAGTATTAGCATTTCTCAGCTTAATGGCATTCAAAATTTGATGTTGTGGCTGGTTATAACTGGCAGAGTGTTATCAGGCAAAGTCACAATATGTATGAAGAAGTGAGGTTATACAAAGCCATACATGATCAACAACACATCTTAGCATCCAACAAGTTGAAATATGAACTTGAGATGGTTGCTTTCCAACAGGCAAGTTGCATGTAGGACGAAGGCAAGGGGCTGGAGAAAAGATTGAAGAAGTTACATGATACTGCCACACTGTATCACTGGATTTGTCACTAGCATGAAGAATACCAGTGCTCCAAAAAGGCAGCCGAAAAAATGTCCAGATTTGTCATTGACTTGGTGAATGTCACTGCCCTGAAAATGTGGCTGAAAAAACACCCGGATTTGGATTTAACATGCTGAATAACATTGCCCTGAAAATGTGGCCGAAAAAACATCTGGATTTGGGATTAACTTAGTTAATGTCACTGCTCCGAAAATAGGGCTGAAAAAAACATCCGGATTTCCGGATTTGTATTTAACATGCTGAATGACATTGCCCCGAAAATGGGGCCAAAAAATGTCTGGAGTTGTAGTTGACTTGGTAAATGTCACTGCTCCAAAAATGCGGCCGAAAAAACATCTGGATTTGTATTAGTGCAACAATGTCCGAAATTTTGGATGTGATTTTGACATGGACCAGGCAATCCCCTGCAGAATGCTCTGAAGTCCGAAATTTTGTGGGTCATTTCCATTCAGATGTATTAATCCCTGTAGAGTGCAGTATTTTTCTGCAGGTGGACTTATTCAGGGGAAAGCATATGGAAACATCTTCAACTTTGCTGACACTTTGGTTGTGGATCAACCACCTATTGTTGGGGGTCAAGTTGTTCTTGATAATTCACATGAGGACCCAGTGAACTTGTCCCTTGGCTCCATGAAAATATCTATGGGTTTTAGCCATGCTGTTACTGCTACTTTTCAGCCAGTACTTCAAAACCTTATTAAACGTCGTCCTGAGGTTGCAGGTGGGAGTTAATGCTCAATGGTTAATTTTTATTAATATATTGGTAGACTCCAATGTCACTTTGTTAACTTGGGACAATGTTGATGGTATTTGGTATCTTAAAGGGCCTTATGAATTTGCTCTGGAACAGAATGAAGATGTGAAATGGTTTTATAATAAGGAAAAGTGGCTCCCATCTGAAGGCAGCTACCAAGCGATGTAATCGTGGGGTGGTCAGGCAAGACATGAATTGAAACATGTCCTCATTCCTTCCTGAGATTTCCAACTTCTCCAGCTCTCCAAGAACATGGGTGACATTTTTGAAAGAATGCATCCTGTGTCCATGCAGGTCAATATTGAAATCCAACGTTAGATTTACCAATGAGGAGAAGCTCGCAATGGCATTGACGTTTTCATTGCAGAAGTCGGTCTCCGTCAGGTGGAGTGTGCGCAGATTTGCAAACTTTAAAAATGAGCAGGGCAAGTGTACTGGGAACATCACCGTTGCCCATCCCTGCAACCTTCTCCATGTCAGCGCTCTCAATCCTCCGTGCAAATGCTCCAGGATGACATGGGTCATTCAGTCTGCAGCTCCTACTGAAAAATCGACGACGGATGGTGTAAGCAGTGTTGAGAGCTCCATTGCCACGTCTTCATTGAATTGTGGTACCCCATACACGAGACATCGAAGTCCAGGGAGAAAAGGTGCGTCTGCTGCCATCAGGTTGTACGCTGAAGGGTTGGGCCTTGTGTCGTTTCCTGTCATATCGAGACTCCGTATCCGGACTGCCATCCGCTTAAACCTTATCCAGTCGGCTGCTTGTAGCGGAGGGGAAGGCAGAAACTGTAACTTTTTTGTAATGAAAAAAGAAAAAAAAGGAAAGAAAAAGGAAACTGGTGCTTACGAGGAAGTGATCATGTTCAAAGCATCCTCATATTAGCATTAAGAGATTCCTCATCGTCCTCACGTTCGACCACATGATATCCAGTGCCGGTTCACTGATAGATTTTGATGTCAAAGTCAAAGCAAATAGCTCATTGCCACCCAGGAAGGGACAAATTTCCCTGGTGATTTCCACTATTGAGAGCATGCAGATGGGGGATGGAGTTGTTGTTGAAAAAAAATTGTTACGTCATTACAATTTTGACATATGTTGCACATGATCTGCATATTATATAACATTAACTTGGCCATGTGAAAGGATCCACAGATGATGTACCCTGCTTTACGTTTCCTCTTTGCTGAACTTATTTCTCTTGTCCATATGCCTCTTTTTGAATACAGACGCTAACTCTTCGATTGTCCTCTTGGGGCATGACAGGCACTTTTTTGGAGCCACATTCTTTAACGCCTGAGGCACTTCATGTATTCTTGGTTCTTGAGAAAGGAAAATTGTTGCCAGAGTGGAATGGACAACTGACTTACAACAACAAGTGCACTAGAATGACAGGTTAGGTGCACATTTACCCATTTCCCTTTTTTTTAATCCATTGTCATACAAATGGTGTGAGTTTTAAAGGTCTACCATCATTGTGGCTATGTTCCGAATCATCTTTCCTTCATGCCCTCAATCTGGAGCTCAGAGATGCCTGGTATGGCTAAACACAACCGCTGTCTCTCAGAGTTTCCATTCAGGCCGATGGTGTTCTCTGGCGACTGGCCAGTTGATGCCTGGTATAGCTAAATGCAACCAGTGTCCAACCTCCATTGGCAAAGGTGAGCCTCCAAATGTCTTTGCGAAAGCTTTGTAGGCAGAAGAGTCTGGTCGTGCATCATTCGGACTATAAAAATTCTCCCTGATCTCGAGCGTTTTAACCCTCCCTGCCACCTGATTGAACTTGGACCAGTCTGGGATGGAAGGCAGGTACTATTTCCTTTGTTAGAGAAATAAAGACAAAAATGCATTCTCGGTACTTACCAGTTTTCGGTTGCGTTCAGTGCATCCTGGAATGATCAGGAACAAGTGCCTCAATGTCGTAACGTCTCTCCATAACATGTCCAAGGCGGACAGGCTCACAGATTTACATGTTGACGCCAATGCAACAAGTTCTTTGCCCTCTGAGTAAAAACAAATATTGTCGACGAGTTCTCCGATTGAGAGTGTTCGTGCGGAGGGTGTCATGATTGCCACTACAATTTGTTATGTAATGTTTATGTAGGTTAGGGAGCAGCACTCTCCCGCTTCCGAGGATGCAACATGATGCACGAGTAATCACCATCACTTCACCCTTTCCATCACACCTTTCTACTCTACCACCATGTCAGATCTTTTGAGGCGTCTGCACAACGTGTGTGTCAAGGTCAACCAAATAGAGTCCCTTCCGCCTATGGCTACGCCCAACACCCGCCAGAGACATGTGGTGTTCTGGAAAGCACTTTACCAGTACGGAGGCCAAATCACCACTCACCTCAGCTTGCTGTCAGAGCTGACACCCCAAATGATGGACACACGTGCTACACCTCTCAAGCGGAAAGGACACTTCATTCCTCCATTCCACTTTCCCCCTGTTCTTTCTCTCACCCCTTTCTTTCTCTCCCCCTCCCTTCCTCCCCCTTCCCTCTCCCTCCCTTCCTTTCCCCTCTTGAACACCACCCAAGGTTGGAGTTTGACCCCAGTCGGGAATCTTATGGGCCCCTGTATTAGAGTTGCAAAGAATACTGTACAATGATGTGTGACAACTTTCACTGTGAGCTTTTGTGCCAGAGGGTATTTAAAAATATATGTGTTTACTTACCTCTTGCAGAGAGGGGCAGATCCTAGACTCCAACAACCCTTGATGCTGACCCCCAGAGGGTTTCTTACCCCTCAAACACCCCATCTACCCCAACCCTTACCCTTCCAAAACCTCAAGTTGGGGTTGGGTAAGGGTAAGGGTATAGGTCATGATGAAGACACCTAGGGTTACCCCTGCCCATCACTACAAGGAGCACAGACAAGGCAGCTTTATTAGCAACTGCTTTTCATCTTTTCAATTGAATATACCCAGAGTAAGCGACATGCAGAGTGTTATAGTGTAAAGGACAAAGGCAAGTCAACCAAATAAGGAGATTATTTGTCAGCTTATCTCCTTATATAGTAGAATGGTCCTAGTGGAGGAAAATAATCTTACTATGCCTTACCAAATAAGGCAAATTTCCTTTTTTATACCTATGCATGACATAGCACATCTTGGCCACATCCTCACCAAATTCAACTTTCTTATTTATTGTTTTCTGCTACCATTCCCCAATAAAATAGCCTTGGATGTGTGACTCACACAGCCAAGATGCTTGTGCTGCCTCTTGTGATGTATCTGTTGTGCCTCTTTCCCTCCCACCTGTGGCACTATATCACAACAAAACAGCTTGTAGACACAGAATAAAGCAGCTGCAGCCACCTCTATCTCCGAATGAAACAATCCCCACCTGTACTTTTGATGCCCTACATATTCCTGCAGGAATGGGTCCATTCCACTGGATTCCACCAGATTCCACAGGAATGGACTGGAATCCTCTGGAATGGGCCTGGATTCCACCAGATTCTGACAGAAGGGACATGTATAAGTGCTTGTAAATACAAATGTGTGTATATAAACTGACTTTTGTAGTCTATCAGTGTTATTATCCCTTTTAGGGTATGCACCTTCCTTTTTGGGTCAAATTTCCCATGATACAATAGTTGTAGCCCTTTCTCTTAGCTTTGTAAATGTGTTGAAATCATATTGTTTGGTGTTGTTTTCATGGAGAAAAATACAAAAAACAAAAAAAAATGCGACACTTTTGAAAATCTTTTATCTCATATCTCCACAATGGGAGCACTTCAGAACACAATTCAACCAGATTTGGGAAGCTACAGTGCAGGCTACAACTTTTGTTTTGACCATTTTTGGTAATTGGTCATGTGACCATCATCCTGACATCCCATTGAATGAACCCTGACAAGCAGAATCCTCATTATCTTGAATTTCTTGACTTTTTGGTCATACAAGATCATATTTCCTTTTGCAGGTATATATAAATGACCCTGAAGGCAGTGCCCCATATTGTATACACTGCATATACCAACTCTATTTTTTTGTGAGTTTAATGTGTTATGCTAAAAATATGCTTGCCTTGCAGCTTGATGATGGCCCCAGTTCTTTTCAAAGTACCTAGGCCCTGGGCATCAAAATTGATACTGTCCACCTTGCAGTCTTCAGGACAATTAGTGTTCACAGATCCAGTCTACAGGACTGAAAATATACATAGGACCAAACTGGACTGAACCATGGTCCAGTCTTTTTCCAGTTGCAGTTGCCCACATTTGTGGTCAGTCCAGTTGCCAGTTGCCATGTTTTTGTAAAGATTTGAAAGCCAAAAAAAGACTGGTGTAGACTGGTTGCAACCAGTCTTTCATCCCATCACATGTTGGACCTTACTCACACACATTCAATCTTCAAAAATGGTCAACAATTGGTTGAGATATGGCCAAAAACATTTTTATATATGCAATTTGAATGTATGTCCTTTCTGTTTTCGCCATATCTCAGTCAAATCTTGACAGAATCACTTACATTGTTTATCAGTCTATGGAGAATTAAATTATGTATCTGTGTATGCAATGTATGTGAGGTAATATTTAGGTCCTGTGGTACAATAAATTTTACAACAAAAGAGCGGTCTGGACCAACTAGGACTAGTCTAAAAGGGGTTGCAGTCCCTTAATATCTCAATCGGACCAGACTGGTTGCAGTTGCCAGTTGCCTTATTTCGAGGTAAAAAACCAGACTAGACTGGACTTTAAAACATTAAGGATGATGTTGTGTGATCTGATGACTTCCTGAACACGTTCACTGGGCATGCTCAGAAATTCATCCTCCATGAAAATCTTGAAAACTGATTCTGCAGGTTTTTTGATATGGAGGGGTTGTCCTTTGATTAAATGCACTGATTCAAATAATAAATGAAGATTGTTGAGATCACTTTTATGCTGAATGTCATCATAACTAGATTATATTGTTGGCTAAGAGATAATAGGTTGCTTACATGCAGTGCTGGCTTAATGGTAACTGCCTTGCCTTTAGGATCCCAAACCATGAGGCTTGGTGATTTTATTTTCTACAATGCATGTGTTGTCAAGGATAATCTAGTATAATGTGGTTGTCATACTTTTGAAAGAGGTTCACTAGGCAGATTGACATCATCCACGACTTGCTGATACATAATCCAATTATGTGAAATGCTTCACATTGAAGGACAAAGAAACTTACTATTTTGTAAAAGCTTTGGGCCATGCTATACCCAGGTGCTGGTAGTGAGGAAATGGAAGTCAAGGAGGGTTGATTGGTACAATGTGTTCTTTTTCTTTTTCTTTTTTTCAATGCAACATTGTGATCTTTTTAGAACTGCAGGGTTTTTTGATGAGAGCAAGATAAAGGAGCTATTTCTTATGCTGCTAATTTCTATCACTGAAGATCAGCTCTTTCAATTTGCCTTCCAAGCATCTTTTCCAACCAACCATCTTGAGGAGTTGTACCATGACCATGATGAGTTGTAGCTTTTGTAAATTTCAAGTTGTATTTGTATAGTAGTTGAATCACATCACAGCTTTTGCTTCAGAAGTACATCTTTGATGGTAAGACCATAAATGAGGTCCAGCTACCTAGATATATATATATATATTTATTGAAACTTGGATGGCAGTCGGTCATACCTCTGAGTATGTATTATATTCAGCAGTGCATATCATCCAGAGATTGGCTTTCCAAAGGCAAAGCTATACAGTCAGTGTCGAAAAGGCTCCCTGGGATGTGCCACTGTGGCTAATCCAAATCTGCATACTCTATCTTTGCATCATTCATCTAAATATTAAGGGACTACAACTGGACCCTTTTAGACAAGTCCTAATCAGTCCACAACACAAAGAAAACCGGTCTACACCAGTTGTGACTGGTCTTTTGTTGTAAAATTTATTGTGCCAGATAACCGAAATATTGCCTCATGTAAATTGCATACATAGATAAATATTGTAATCCTCTGTAGACCGATTAAGGATTCAAGCAATTCCGTCAAGATTTGACTGAGATATGGCAAAAACGGATAGGACATACATTCAAATTAAAAAGATACATATACAACAACATTTTTGGCCATATCTCAACCAATTCTTGATCGCTTTCAATGATTCTGAGACCGAAAATTAAGTAGAAATGTGCACAAGTAAGGTCCAACATGTAATGGGATAAAATATTGGTTGCAACTGGTCTAAATTAGTCTTATTTGTATTAGTGCAGCAATGTTTTTTGCCCTGAAACACAGCGAGGAACGAGTGAAGAGTCAGGGCGCGGTCTTAGTATAGGGCATGTGACAGTCAGGGTAGAAATCACCTTCTCTCTTTCTACCACAACAGTCACCGCTACCACTGAGGTCGTCTGACTGGCCTCTTTCCTTTTCTACCCACTCTCGTTAAAGCACCATCCTTTACAAACCAGTACTCTCCCGTTTACTGCGTAGCACACTCACCATTTCCTGTCCCACAGATGCCACATCTCACTCTGGACCCAAACCTGGAGGTGTCCATGGCATATGACGCCCTTTGCACTGCCCTTGCGGCAGCGGAAGGTGTCGACAAAGAGGCTGTCATCGCCCACCTCTCCGATGCATGGAACATCAAGAACAATGCCAAGAAGGCCACGTGGGACGAGCAGGTCAGACAGGACAAAGCCGAAGAGGCAGAGGCAGACCTCGCCCGAGAGCACAAGCAGCAACTCGAGCTCGAGGAGCGGCGTAAGGAGGAAGAGACGGAGAGGAAGGAGAAGGAGAAGAAAAAGCCAAAGCTCAAGAACATCGCACCCAACAAACTAGTGAAGAACGCCATGCAGCTTCGCCCCTCGCATTACGCCATCCACAAGCTAGAAGAATGAGAATGTGTTGAGCTCTACTACTTCACCCAGGAAGGCTGCACCGAGGCCTCGACGATCGACCGCACCATCGCCCAGGACGCCTTCACCTTCACCAAAGCCGATGACACCCTGCTGCTCAAGCCCATGGCCTCGCACAAGCCGTCCAACAAAGCCATCCCTGACGAGTACCTCACCTGGTGCCAAGTGTCACTTGCCAAAACCACCCTAGTGCATCACATGTCCCAGGCTGGTTGGCCTGAACACCTCATCATCATGCTCGCCAAGTTCTACCTCAACCTTGAGGCCCACCCCACGCGTCACGAAGTCGACAGCGACACCGTCCTCCTTCACTACCAGGCCCAAGTCAGGCGTGAATGGCACGAAGCCCTCAGAAATGCCAACGACGATGAAGATGTCTTTGACATCAGCAGCATCAATGACAGGCGCGTCGACGCCATCAGGACGAAGATTTGGAATGCCCGGCGCAATGAAGGTGTCCTCAGGTTAGTAACCCCCTCCCTTCAGAGTATCCTCCTGAGGCTGATGTACTTTGTCTCCCCCCCCCCCCAACCTTGACATTTTGCTATTACACATCTGTCTGCACCATGCACCACATGCACCATGCACCCATGCTCACCATGCACCATATGCTCCTGTGGTGCTTTATCTATCCGCTTTTGTGTAAATTACACACCCTTGCCCACCATTGTACTTACATAACCGCCCTGACATGTACATACACATATGCATGCTGTTTCCCACATCATGCGCTTCCATCTCCCCCCCCCTGCTCCCTATGCCTGGCCACCATCAGGCTTGAAGAGCAGCTAGCTCAGACCACCCTGGTCACAGACCCCACCAAGGCTTCTCGCACCCATGGCCAAAAACAAGGCCGCTCCCCATCGCCCCCTCCAACTTTCATGTGTATGTTGGTACTCATTGTAGTTCATGAATCATTTATCTGATATACGTGGCCCAGCAAAATCTATGGCAACATCCGAGATTGCAAGCTATGAGCTTGGAAAAAGTGCAGTCCAGTTTAGTCCTATGTATATTTTCAGTCCTGTAGACTGGACCTGCAAACACTAGTTGATGCTGCACCTGAAGGTCTACCACGTCTTTCGCCTACCTCCCGACTGGTCCCCTCCAGGCATATCCCAAATGACTGAACCCACCGAACCTGCCACCACCACTGATCCTCCAGCCCATTATCAGGAAGCAGCCATTCTGGCTCAAACTCAGGCACCTTGGATGAAAACCATTGGATGGTTCACTTATTGAGAAGCATGTGGGCATCCAAGCTTTGGTTCCTTGTGGGCTTTGACTGCCATTCCAAGCAAAAAAAGCATTGGGAAGGGGGGTAGAAAATGGCTGGAAAGTGGCCTTCATCAAATCTTTGAATTTTGTTTCGAATATCTTGTCAATGCCGAACAGTTTCTAGCAACCTGTCATGAAGGTGTATGGGATGCAATCACATATAAGTGAGTTTTTGTACTTTTGACTGGTTACATAGGCTAATAGCTGCACGTGTTTGTCCTAAGGAGTGAATGCAGGCACTTTAGGATGTTGACAACAGGCAAATACCAAGAATACTCCAGAGTGTTAAGCCGTACCATTGCACTATCAATGAGGCTACTGCATCAGAACATTCACCATCAATCTGGTGCAGGCACAATCACACTGCTGCTTGCAGGGAACCAGCTTGAAGGTGCTCTTAACCTTTATAGTCAAATTTTTGGCTGGGAAGCCAGCTATTTTTTTATTCCATATCCACTATGGAGGAGGTCTTTACCCTCCCCCACGTAATCCATATGGACTCCAGTGGACTCCAGTGGATTCCAGTGGCCCTCTTACCAGGCCAGATTGGCTGGCAGAATGCCCAGTCCACTGGAGTCCAGTCCACTCCAGTCCAGTCCAGTCCAGTCCACTGGACTCCCACTGGACTGCAAGCCACTTTTCAGAGTCCAGTCAAAGTCCAGTCAAAGTCCAGTGGAGTCCAGTGGAGTCCAGTGGAGTCCACTGGACTATTGACTGAATTACAACAAACATTATACCAATGTTAGGAGTCCAGTGGCAGTCCAGTGGACTCCACTGGACTGGACTGAATGGAACACTAATAGATTGACTGTTATTATTAATTAATAATAGACAAACAAGCGAAAATGTCATAAAACAGTGATGTAAACATAGCATTTAAAGACTAGA